CACACACACACTCACACACACACACACACACACACACACACATACACACACACACACACACACCTTCAATTTCGCTCCCTACCCGAATTAGAAGAGGAATTGTAGATCCAACCCCAACCCGGAGCCCATCAAATTGATTAAGATCACTTACATTTACAATAGTCATCAATTAAGTTTTACATAATTGAAAACGAATGAATTTCGCAGATTAGTTACCATGGGAAGACGATATCTCAACATCTTCCTCTTCGTTCTCGATGACAGTCAGACATTCAGTTCAGTGAAATACATAAACTGAGCAGTCCTCTTTAGACTTTTGTAGCTGCCTTACAGTTTTCTATCCAGTTGTGCAGCATTATATTGCCATTTATGTGCTCTTGTGAATAATATAGGAAGAGCTACAGAAGGTGGCTGTTCTCTGGGGCTGGTTCACATTGACCTTAGAATATATCTCGGATCTCAAGTTTGACGTGTATATTTTGATGTTTTATCCTGTTGTGGTTGAAGCTAAGTCTTAAAACTATGACCTAATATGCTAAATATTTGAAGAAAAAGAAGTCCCGTTTGTTGAAACGTGGGTAGAATTTTTCCATTTGCATCCTATTATCTCATCTAATTTTAAATAACTACAAATCAATCAAGAACGTTCCAGAATTCACGTATAAGTTTGTTTCTCCAGGGTCTTTTATATCTAAATCTATGACATACGTTCGCTATTATATAGTGATCAATACTATATCATTAATTACTATTCTTGTCAACTTTAAAAGAGAACAATCAAAGGCTCACAATGGCACCAACATGCAACATCATAATTGCGTTGAGGCATGGGTCTTGCTGCTACTGGAACTGCTGTTGAGCGAAGGCGGTCCTGACGGCCACGTTGCACCACACGACGAGAGGACCGGACGATCGGTTAGGCACTTCTCGTATTATATACAAGAGGCACGAGTTCGATTCCCGAGTGGGGAGAAATGTTTATCGAGTATCTTATTTTTTCTGCTGGGATATTTTATCCATCTCAGCCCAGAATGGCCCTGACAGGGTGGGTTGGAAGCCCTCCACCTAAATGAACCAAAATGTGGGAATGGAAGTGTAACACTACCATTTTTGAAAAAAAAAGGTCTCCAGACTCAGGAAATGCAGAAAATAGACTTATAGTGCTTAAATGTTTGTTTAGTTCCGCTCCTTACAAATCTTTGTTTTCCCAAAATAGTCTCTACACACTCTATAACAACAGACAAATATGACTAATCTGTAGCAGATCAAATGCCAGGTTGCGGCCCATTTCCCACTATCATACACTCGTCATAAACATGAGCTTACGTATTTCTTATTACATCAGTTTTGATATTTTCTGCCTTTTTACGTTTCAGGTAATGAAAACAGAATTGAAGAATGTAGGAGAATAACGAAGTTATTTTGCTTTTCTAAAGTGCCCGAAAAGAGAGCATGTGTTGATAATGGCCAGAATGTACCTCTCACTGAGTTGACAAATGAACAAACATAATAATATTATCAAACTAAATGAGCACAGCGTGTCAGAACCGAAAGCTTAAGGACTCCTCAATCTTTCATTGTTCAATGCGATACATTATTATATTTCTGTGTCCATGTTGATCGACCCCTCCCCCCTAACAAAATAAGAAAAACAAAAGAAAT